GGGAATATAGTACTAATAGCTTCTTGCAAGTCAGATCATGTCCATTCTTTCTTGTGATAAATGTGGATGGCAGATATGTCCTGCTGCTTTTCCAAGGTCACACTAAAGCTGTGATGAACGAAAGCACAAAGCTGGCACTGTGCCTTGAGACTTCTGCTACTTCCTTGCTAAGCCATTCTACATTCATGGCAAGTTGGGTCATTGTGTCATAGGGAGAACGGTATGTATGTGCCATTCTGACCTTTGCTGCAAATGTGGGAATAGGACAGTGTTGTTAATCTGTCACTAGGGCTGTGTGACCTTGAATGAGTTATTTCTCCTTTTCGAACCTCAGCTTTTTTCACTTATAAAATGAGAGACTTCATATATATGATTTCTGGCCACGAATGCGGGAAATGTTAAAATCTTCCGCAAACTGGGGTCATTAAAAATCCCATGGACTGGTGACTTTGTTAGAAGATAGCCATGTGTACTTGTTGGAATGTTTCTCAGACTGTCAGGTAAGCTTTGCAAAAACATTCACTCCCTTGAAGCATAAATCATAATACTTTATAAGAAGGTTTTATGTCCTTTATTAACAACCAAGGAGACTGCCTCCCTAGGGGATGGATCAGAATCACAGAAGGATATTGTCAACGTTGTCCTTTCTGTGTCCTTTGTACTGTTAAGAATCATTGGCATAATGAGGCACGGTTATTGGTGCGTCACATAAGTTGGGACAAAAGAGATAATACTTTTTTATGAAACAACAAATATTGTTGAGATATTCAGGTCTTTTTTTAAATCTACATAGGAATCTTTTATATACATAAAGACACACATATAGAGAATTTATCTAGTTCTGTAGCTTTAATTATAAAAGTTTTACTCTTTGATAGATAGATCTTTCTCCCATCAACATAGATGAAAATTTTTTTGTCTTGATTTGTTTTAAGGAATCTGTACAAGTACTAATTTCACTTATCTACTTAGTATTTATTAAACCACCTGCCTGAGTTCAAGTGATACCTAGTTCTTGTGCACTGTTGTTAGTAATCGCATTCTGTGTTTGAGAGATGGAGGTTAGTAATTTGAAATCAGTGGAATGTGATAAAGTTTTATTCACTAGAATATAATGGAGTCAGGGACAGTTGCATTTTGCACTAGATATTCTAAAGAGAATCAGCAAAGAACTAAGTGGGTGACATCGAACTCATTCCTTCAACTGAAGGCTCCAGTAATATTAGGGTCTTCTTAAGCAGGAACTATGAAATAAACTGAAATCAAAGAATCAATTACAGGAATTGAGGCAGTTTTACTCTGTGTTTTAAGAACAGGTATATGCCAATGCTTCCAAGAAAAGGAGAGACCCACTTGAGCAATAAACTCTTTCTCCATTCCTCCTTTTCTTTGCTGCTGACAAGCTCAGTGGTAAATGTGCATCATCCTTTCATTTCCACTCATGACTTCGGATAATTTCCTAATAGCTAAACAGCCAGAGTCACTGTATCTTACCCTCTTGCAATTACACAAAAATCCTTGGGTCAATTTAGAGTTGGCGTTTACTGGAACTGATGCCTACAGTTAAAGTATACAATTGAATTTTCTTTCTCCTCCTTTTCCCTCCCAGCCCCTGGCTGTGTTTTAGTTGCATGGCAACCCATCTGCTGTGATAGCTGATGTCAGCTTATTTTCACTTCGACTTAGCCCAGAAAAGTTTTCAAGAAGGGCATTTGAGTTTGTGTAATGCTGGGGAAGGCTCCAATTTGTGTTACCAAATCATTTGTAAAACTGCAGACTAACAGGTTCTGGCAGGCTAAATGTAAATGTGGATATCACAAGGGATTAGGTTCCCTGACAGTGTGGCTTTAGGGACTTGGTTTCTAACTTCTAGGAGCTCGGCAAATGAACCTCCGCCATCTTCTCTTTGCTGCAGAAGTTCTCTCTGCACTTTAAAAGAATGGGAAGTGTTCAAATTACTCTTATTCCTAAATATTAGCATTTAGCCAACATTTTAACCCAGTGTCTAAGCAGCATTTGGGAGGAAAGGAATAGTCTAGTGTGTAGTATAGCAACAAGTGAAAATATAACTTCTTTAATCAATCCAGCAGAGGGCAGAAGGCAGTTTTAGCTTTTCTTATCTATGACTATCCAAAGAAAATTGTGACAACCCAAGGCAAAATTTAGAGGCATGTTTATAAACAAATTATTTCCAGCCTGTTAATGCACAGGTTATTCTGATCGTATAGACAGGTTCTAGCTAGTGTGCTCAGAGCCAGTTCAATCCTATCTATGCAAAAAGATGTGTAGATTATTGAGTTATTTATGCCAAGAGGGGACAGCAGTGTTGTACTCAAATGACTATACTGCTTCTAATCAGTTCAGATCTTATTTACTAACCATTTATGTTTATGGTACTCCAAATGCTAGAATGAAAGAATATTTGAAATAACGATGAGTAAATAATTTCATTATCAAATGTTTCTCTTTTAAAGTAATTATACCTACGTATAAGTCTATAAAATAGTGAAAACAATTTTCACAACCCACTCTGGCTTCTGAGAAGTCAGTCTTATCTTTCTATAGTGAAGCTGCAACTTGGGGTGGTAGTATTTACAACATTGCAAAGATGAGGTTAATACTGAAACAGAATGACAATTGCGAAACGAATCTTTGTCTTGGTGTTTATATAATTTGCTAAGCCTGGCTTCTAAAAAACACTTTTAACAGGAAAATGAATTTTCCATGCTGATTTGTAGTGAAGGTTGTTTTTGCTTGAGTAGTATGTTAGTGTCTTACATAGGGTTCCTCTGGAAGCAGTTCCTGATATTTATTAAGGAGCACCCTTGAGATCAACACTAGTGGAAAGGAGGAGATGGAAGCAGAATCGGGCAGAGGGAGAAGCTGGGTTTCCCTGTAGATCCAGTTCAGTCTTAGCTGACCCCTCTGGGAACTCTGGATTCAAATGACTCTTCAGAATATATATCCTAAACTGGGGCACTCCCACGTTGATCAGTTATCGGATGTGTACCCTCCATCCCTACCCCAACCACAGGACATGACCTTGGTTGAGGTGGCTCTTTGTAGCTGAGACAATCCTTAAAGGATTGCGCTGACAGCACTCCTAGCAGCTGAGACAAGAAGTCCCTTATTGAAGAGGGATCTGGGTGGCACAGCACAACACAGTTTGTGTGAGAAACAGCCCAAAAAATCAGATTCACTGGATTTTCTTTTTGATGAATTGTTGACTCTGTAATGGTAGACAATTCATTGGTTGCTTTAAAAAGAAAGTGATAGCTTGTTGTATTCCAATCTGTATGGAAAGAAATGGTTAACGTGGTTTGAAAAATAGCATTTTAAAGAATGGAAAAGAGGATATTTTTATAAATGAGTGTTAAATTCTGAGATATAGTGGTAGCATAAACACATAAACATGGTTTATTTATTTGCATTGAGATTGTCCTATGAATAACAAACTATGTCGATTAAAGGTAATTACAGTGAATAATGGAATTGTGGTTTGTGGTAGTTCTTTGCTATCTTTGGGGAAAAGTTTAAGTTACAGAAAGTGATGCTGGTAGATTGTCAGATAATGAAGCACAAGTAAATGTATAATAAAAAAAAGGAGGCGGGGGCTGTAAATGTATGTTGTTCGTAGAACAGTCATTTATGTCTAGCTTTCATTTAAGCACTTCATGTTTAAACCTTATTAATTCCACCTATTCCTTTGTCATTCAATCATAGCTTCAGTTGTATGCCTCCTGGGTGCAGACCCTTATGCCTGCTTAATCCGTATTTGAGACCTGATTCTGATTCTCATTCTCAAAGAGCTCACAATGTCATCAAAAAAATCACATTTGTTACATTAACACCAATGTCATCAGAAAAGTATGTGATTTGGGAAAGGCGTTAAGTTCATGGTGCAGGAGATGAGTTTTCTCAAATTTAATTTGTTCTCGAAAGCTCCAATTTTTACATTGACAATAGGTATTTCATTTGTTTTCATGAAAACAAGCTCATTGTGGTCACTTTTTACGGCAAATATCTATCAAGTACCCAGGTCTGAATACCCATATTATATCAATTGTTCTTTAAAGTAAAAATGTTCCATGAACAAAGCAGCTAATTTAATCCACAACTCAGTCACATGAGTGCTTTTTTTAAAGACATCTTTTGTATTTAAATATGAAGAGGAAGTGCTTTATGGTTACTTCTCATTACTTCACACAGAATATAAGAAAGTGGCTCAAGAGTTGTGATTTAATAAAATGAATCCTTTTTTTCATTAAGGATTTTCTTAAGTGACACTGTATTTTTATCAATGCTAGTGTGTGTCAGCAGTAAAGAATGCAATGACTGCCCGTGCAGTTTCATGCCTCTGTCTTGATTTAATTAAGGCATCAGCAAGTTTGTCCTCCATTGCTTTTGTACCATCAGTTCAAGTGTCAACACAGTGGAAAAAGCAAACGATGCAATAGTATTATTATGAAAAGAATTATGACCTCACTGCCCCCTGAAAGTGTCCCACTTTCAACGTCCACAGCCCACATTGAGAATGGCTCTTAGAGAGAATGGTTTTAAGCAAGGAGTGCCTGGGGGAGGGAGACTGATTTGGCAAGAGATGAACAAGCCTGGCTTTATATAATGGCAACAGAGATAGACAACAGGGAAAAAAAGAGCTGAAGCTTACTGAGGTTTTCAGCCTGGTTGACTGAGTGGATGGCAGTACCGTTAACCAAGGTGATGACTGGGGCAAGAGGAGCCCTAGTTTATGATTGAAAAAGATTCTGTTTTCACTGTGAGAGAAAAATCTATCATAATTCTCCCACTTGGAAAAGGATGGATTCTAGCACCGAGGAGAAAGAACAAAGTGCTGTTAGCTGGGTCTCTGCAGGAGCCTGAGATCTGGTTTTGTACTGATAATGAAGAGTGGTGTTTGTAAGCTCGTCACCTTTTATATTGATGCATAAGAGTCTTGTGTCTGTGCTTCCGGTAATAGTGCTTTCTTTTTCTGTTTCTAGGAATGGTGCAAAAGTTGGACCAAAAACTTCCAGTGGCCAATGAGTACCTATTGCTCTCTGGAGGCGTCCGGGAAGGTGTGGTGGACCTGGACTTAGATGAGCTTAATGTCTATGCCCGGGGGACTGACTATGACATGGACTTTACCCTTCTGGTGCCAGCCCTTAAGCTACATGACCGTAATCAGCCTGTGACACTCGATATGCGCCACTCAGCCCTGTGCCACTCTTGGCTGAGCCTTCGGCTCTTTGACGAGGGTACGATCACTAAATGGAAGGACTGCTGTACCATTGTAGATCACATCAATGGTGCCACCAACTACTTCTTCTCCCCAACCAAAGTGGCTGACTGGTTCTATGATTCTATCAGCATCGTCTTATCAGAGATACAGAAGAAACCCCAGCGAGGGATGCCAAAGGTGGAGAAGGTAGAAAAGAATGGAACCATCATCTCCATCATTCTGGGTGTGGGGAGCAGTCGCATGTTGTACGATATTGTCCCTGTGGTGTCTTTCAAAGGTTGGCCCGCAGTGGCCCAGAGCTGGCTCATGGAGAACCACTTTTGGGATGGGAAGATCACTGAGGAAGAGGTCATTAGTGGGTTTTACCTGGTGCCTGCTTGCTCCTACAAGGGTAAGAAGGACAATGAATGGCGGCTGTCCTTTGCCAGGAGCGAGGTGCAGTTGAAGAAATGCATCTCTAGCAGCCTCATGCAGGCCTACCAGGCTTGCAAAGCCATCATCATTAAACTCCTGTCCAGGCCCAAGGCTATTAGCCCCTATCACCTGCGGAGCATGATGCTCTGGGCCTGTGACAGACTTCCTGCCAACTACTTGGCTCAAGAAGACTATGCAGCCCACTTCTTGTTGGGCCTCATCGATGACCTGCAACACTGTCTGGTCAACAAGATGTGCCCCAATTATTTCATCCCTCAGTGCAACATGCTGGAGCACCTCTCGGAGGAGACAGTCATGCTCCATGCCCGGAAGCTCTCCTCCGTCCGCTCGGACCCCGCAGAGCACTTGCGCACCGCCATCGAGCACGTCAAGGCAGCCAACCGGCTGACGCTGGAGCTCCAGAGGCGGGGCAGCACCACCAGCATCCCCTCCCCGCAGTCCGACGGAGGGGACCCCAACCAGCCTGATGACCGTTTGGCCAAAAAACTGCAGCAGCTAGTGACTGAGAACCCGGGGAAGTCCATCTCTGTTTTTATTAACCCCGATGATGTCACGAGGCCCCATTTCAGAATCGATGATAAATTTTTTTGAGCATTTTGCTGACTTTGTTTTGTTTCCTGATTCTAAAACTCTCATAATGTGTTGTGCGGTTTGTGATGCTGTCTTTTCGTTTTTTACATATCCAGCCGAGATTGGATCTGTTAAGAACACATTTTAAGTCTCCTGTTTCTGCAGGATGGTGCAGGCTCTGAAACAGTATATTACTATTTCATATTCTGCCTCCGTTTTTGTTGTTTACTTTTTATAGTTATTGTCACATAGTTCGTTTTTGTTTTTTAAGAACTTGAGCCATAGGTGAAAATGCCCATGAATTTTCTTGCTTTTTTCTGTTTTGTACTTTGTACAAATTTGTTAATAGGGATGGGGAAACAATCTTTTTCTGACATAAGGATTCTATTTTTTGTTTCGGTTGTCTTTTTTTTTTTTTTCACTACAGATATTCGAGAATCATCTGAACCTGGGAGCTACCTGGCGTGTTAGCTGGATTGAATTCTTTTGACCAGTGGCCAGAGTAGTTTTCCCTTTTCCACTAAACAAGGTAGACTTTGAAAGTGATAATACTACAAATTGTGTTTTGGAGCAACTTCATTGAATGTAATTGTCCTCAGATCAGAACTTTGGATGGTTTGGAGGGTGTGTTTGACAACTTTCCAAACAGAATTAAGGTTTCCAAGTGGTAGTTTTCGTGTGTGTTAATTATTTGAAGCCTTATTTAAATCCTGTTAAAGAACATACCATTATAATTGTTATTTGCACTAATGAAATCTTTGCCATTGTCAGAGTTCCAGTGTGTGTATTTCAATATAAATTGACATCCACTGTTAATGCTGTCATCTTTTCATTTCTCTCAATCAGTAGAAGGATTCTTTACATTCGTTTAGTTTTCCTTTAATTTGGGGTCCCGTTTTGCCCTTGGTATTCACTGAGAGAAATTTTTAAAGCTTTATACCTGCCAAGTGACTTTATCTGAAGCTGGATTGAATAGGAGTTTTTGTATGTATTTCTTTTGGCTTAGAGAGCTAAGCTTTTTTGTAAGGTCTCTGCTTCTGCTGAGAGTTTTAAAGAAAACTGGCAGGAAGGATTCATAATCCCCAAGTAGAAGATGCCACTATGCCTGTTCAAAATCAGCAGATTTTGCTATTGAGTGGGAACCAGGACATGTCTGTGGGGTGGAAACCTAGGTGTTGAGGTGTCCTGTCTTCATGAATGAAGTGACTTGCCAGGCTTAGGTGCCACAAAGCATTAGCTCCCTGTTTTGGTATGGACTTGTGGCAGCCTGGTGTTTGAGAGGGCAGGGGTCTGCTGATTTTTCAAAGGATAACCATGATGTCTACTACTGGGAAGATCAAGCAACGTTTTGGTTTCGATCTCGAATGTCCAGACTTTCTGGTTCAATTTTGGCCATTTGAAATCAGGCATATGCAGTCTTGGGTGTTTGCATGGGAATTAATGTAATGCTTATAAATGAAAATGAAATCATTCAACCATCTTAAGTCAAACACAAAACTAATAATAAAAGAAACATACTGGCATTGGAATTTTGTTGTTGTTACTGTTGTTAGTTTGTAATCTGGAAACTGTTTTCTTATTAGTAATACCAACAGTAATTTTCAGTAAAATTGGGGCTTGCTCTTGTCTTTGAGGCCAGACGTTCATGTAGTGAACACCCAGTATTCTTTCTTCCCTTTCCCCAATTTTCCTACTAGTATCTACCTATCTTCCACATAATCTATGTCCTTCTTGGGAAATGATGTCACCCCCAGCTCCAGACCGTACCCTGATTGGTATAGGCCAATTGGCCACCATCGTTAATTAGGGATTGAGCATGGAACGTAAACCGCTCTAATCAGAGACATGCTCAGGATTCTAGCTTGGGACACGGGGAAGAGGCATGCACTCTGGATATGGAAGAGGAAGCACTTGACCTCTATCTCTGACACCTATCTCATAATCATGACTAGAGCCAGCCTGAGGATGCAACTGACATTGGGCAGTGCTATGGAGAGATGGGGGAAAAAAGCATGAGCCAGCAGACACTGCCCTCCCCACTCCCAAGTCTGAGGTCTCTCCTCCCAATGGACTTTCTAGTTAAACAACTCAACACTTAGTTCTTTTAGCCATTTAAATTTAGTTCAGTTCATCAAAATGTTTAATCTGATATACCAAACTATTTCAATGTATTTAAATTAAGTTGATGCATGTCTCTTTTCTCTCTGGGGATAGATATCAAGGATATCCGTATCAAAAAACTGGTTTTTACAAAGGCGCTGGCTTCCTTTAAAGTCAACTATAAACTGCCATAACTATGCTTTGAATTGGCATCTCAAATACAATTAACAATATTTACAACATTTTTAATCTTGTGTTTACAGAAAAAAATTTATTACAGGTGTGATAAGAACCTAGTTTCCTTTTGCCATCTCTGGCCCTAGTGGAGAACGCTAAAAAGCCTTGAGTCAACTTTATAAAAAAGTCCAAAGGCCCCTAGGATCTAGTAACTTTAAAACTTTTTTTTTTTTTTTTAATTTCTGCTATTTGTTATCAGTACCATAAGCCTAAGACTCTTAGGCCAGACATTGTTGAATGTGGGTAGAAACAGGATATAGTTTGATACCTTTCCTTGTCTGAAACTTAGAAAATCATTGAACTACTAACCTTTTCTTCCAATGCCTGGAAGATTGCTTAAAATCATTTCTGTTTCAAGTAAAATATAAACTGCCTTAAGTTGGATTCATAATTTCAACATTACTTATTACTTAGTTTTTTTTTTTTGGTTGTGGGGATAGATAAGCTATAACTCAACAAGTTTTCAATTCTCTGATGGGACCTGGTTTCACATATTTCAAGAGTAGATTATTCCCTGCCCTCTGCCTTTCTTATCTGAAATGGGAGATCCAAATATGCAAGTAAACATTGGTTTTTAGAGTGGAAGGAGCCAGTTAGGACCAGACATTTAAAAATAAGAATATTCCTAAAATTACAGAATAATTTCAGAGAAAATAAGAGGCTGGCCTATGTGGCTAGTTTTACTTTCAGGTGTAGATATGAAGAAGCAGGGAGGAGACTTCTGGGGCTAGTTGAAGAGCCCATAGTGACTTTTGCATCACCCTCTTACACACACACACACACACACACGCATGCATGCACATACACATGTATGGACGGGTGTGTCCACTTGCTTTCATATCACTGATTGGAGCTTTCTTTAGGGTGACTGTTTTGTAATACTTCCTGGGAGGATTAAACCCATTGGCTGATCAGAGCTAAGTGTCGATGATTTTGGATCAGATCATTTGGGGCTTCCTGCGCTCCAGAGCTCTGCCAAGGTCTTCAGGGAAGCACCTGAACTTCCATCCTGATAAGCTCTCTTTAGAACCTTGTCCCTTGAGTCAGCCAAGGGCTGCCTGTATGGCTATTTCACTTCCCAGCTTGTTATTAATAGGAGTCAGGGAAAGATTTTTATTTCACACTCCTCATATTCTGACCTAGAGGGTAAAACTTTTTGCTATTAAATGGAGCACTAATACTAAAGGGAGGATGGGTGTTACTTCCTGTTACTGTTACTTTATTGATATCATATTATATATATATATTTTAACTGATTGAACTGATGTAATGCTCCTCTCTGAGAAAAATAGCCAATTTAAAATATATACCTCTTATGCTGTAATTTCTTCAATAAGTAAACAAAGCTATTCCTTTCTGGCTTTCCCTATCTAAGATTGCCTGTGTTGCTAAAATCTCAATTTTAGACCTCTAATTTCATCTATTTATGCACCTGAAAATAACCAATAACAGCTTATGACTGGTCAATGGGCTTCGCAGACCAGGCAGGGGCTCCAGATGAACTGAGATGGGTGGAAATGGCAGGGAGTGCTCAACTAGGTTAGATTAATGATGAAAGGACATTGCTTTTGCTTATCCTCTTTTTCCTCTTCTTTTCACTCCAGGGTGGCATTATTGTTCTAAGAACTCTCCAAGGCCAGTCTCATGGTCATAGGTACAGAGCTCTCTGCGTCCTCCGCACAGCTGTGTTTGTGACATTTTTAAAAGCTCTGGCTTACAAAAGGATTTTATTGGAAAATTGAAACATTTTTTCGCTGGCAGGTCACTAAATATAGCTGGAGCATTGGCCTTAGTGAACTCACGCATACATCAGTTTTGTTCAGCTTTTTTTTTTTTTTTACACAAAATTTTGAGAGAAATCCATTTGGGGGGTTGCATGACAAGAAGGTAAGACTGTGTTGTGTATATAAATTTGATCACTACCTACCCCTTATTCACCTTGTGGAAGAAACCTTCGGGGCAGTGTCTCCTATCATAATCCTGTGACTCTGACAAGATCACAGCATGACTCCAGCCTGCGAGAGCCTTCCTTGCTGTCATATTGACCTTCCAGTCATCTTGTGTGTTTTTATGCTAGTATTGTGGAGAAGAGTCATAACAGAGTATAATAGAATAGGAACAAGCAACATAGTCCAAGAAGGTTTCCTCCTCTTCACAATGAAGGTCCTGGCGTAGAAGATCTCTGAATTTTGACATGAACTCCTTGTTTGGTTTCCACACATTCTATGCCTAGACTCAATCCTCTGTATTAACAGATGTGTAGGACATTGGCCCCAGGTCATTACATGAAATTTCGTTTTCTACCTCCCACCTTAAAATACCCTGCAATCTTGATAAAAACCTCATGCTTCAACCTCTCCTAGTAAAATTCTCTTAGACACCCTGTTTTCACTTTCCTATTATGTATTAGAGAACCACTGTCTTCTAAGTATTCCCATCAGCCAGCCAAAAATATTTTGACAAGTTTTTCTGAGGTTTATATTATGAAAATTATAGGTATTAGGGGATTTTAAAAATAAATGTACAGACTGTGCTTTTTCAAACTGCACATTCTCTTAATTCCAAAATACCATTGTGCAACATGCCTGCACCATTAAGAATCTATCTACATGGAAGGACTTCTCTAATTTTCCTCTGCCTAAATTGACCTCATGGCTGTACCTATCTCCCTGGAAAGAACGATTCACAAATAAATGCCTCCACAGCTAGTCAATCCACTTATTTTGTTCAAGTCTCGAATCCCCATGGTGTAGAGGGGCCTCATGGAGTTTTTAGCTTAGTGAAATGGAGGTGAATGTGGGGGGAAAACATCAGCCCTAGATGCTAAAATATTAAAAAAAAAAAATAGGAGTTCTAACTGCACACTTAAAATTGTATAGTATAATAATAGGTTAGTTCAACAAAATGGGAACTTTATCCTCCTGCACGTGTCTTTCAGGGCACTTAATGAAGGAATGCACTGTGAAGGAATGCACTATCTGGTTACTTTGACTCTACTTCAGTTTCACCAGTTGTTATTCGAGTGTAATTTGAACGGGTTAGATTTTCAATGTCCACTTTAGGGGACACCACAATGTGCTGGCCATTGGGCTCCAGATCCCTCACCTTTGACTCAATGGAGCATCTCTACTTTTTTCTGCCTTACATGTTAGATTTTCCCATAATAAGTTATTTAAAGAAGAAGTATAAAATTCTTATATGTTAAAAAACATTGCTGAAGGTCCTGCTATATTTCTGAAGGGTCAGTAGTTCTAGAAAGCAAGTGTTAAACCAAGGTGCTGGGGAGTGAGAGTGGATAACAAACATTTCAATACTTAATTATTCATTCAACAGACATTCACTGAGCACCTCAGTGAAAGAAGAGGACCAGTTTCCAGCCTCATAAAGTTTTTAGTCTAGTGAAATGGGAGTGAATGTTGGGGGAGAACATCAGCCCTAGATTCTCAAATAATAAGTCACATGAAAACTATAATTTAGAAGATGAGAACAAGTATTGTAAACTATAGTCATATATCTCAGCCCACACTGGCACAGTAAATTAGGGTTTCTCTCCCTTGGTACTGGTGACCTTTGGACCCAGATAATTCATTGTTGTGGACAACTGCCCTGTCATTGTAGGATGTTTAGCAGTACCCCTGGGCTTTATTCACTATATAACAGTAGCATCTTGCACCTCCCATTTGTGACAAAAATGTCTTCAGGCACTGATACATGTATCCTGGGGAACAAAACTGCCTATAGTTGAGAACCATTGCAGTAAATAATCTTATCTTAACTTTTTATTCCCTGGGAGTAGAGACAATTTTAGATTCATTTCTACGGCTAGCCAAAAGTAAGTAAATAACCTAGGGCATGTTGGTTGAATTAAATTTGTAAGAGCAGTGTTGATGAGTCTTTCCATAGTCCTCTTTCATCACTTTTATGTTTGTACCTATCAGAATACTTGCTTAAGCAGTTAATGAACCAACATTTTCCAGTGTTTCGGGTGTTGCCAACAGGGGATTTTGAGTTGTACTTTAAGATGTAGCTTTTTCCCTCAGAGAACTTACAGTGTATATGGGGAAATATTGATTGTGTAGGTGGATTTGTAGTAAACAGAAAAAGGTATATATAGAAAGAGTCAAATGAAAGAGAAGGTAATTATCATAAGAGTTGGGCTTAGAGAAAAATCTGGGGTTGGGATGTTTAGGGA